GGGATACGGGTTATATAATAATGCATAATAATGTGAACATTCCCCAAAAAACTATGTGACACAATATTTTTTTTTTTTTAACCCGTAACTGCGCAGGCGCCGATTTCGAGTTTGGCCAAATATGTATTTTTTGTTTTCAGTTAAGATTGTTAAACAAACAAGGAGATATATTTCCGGTGTAACGAATCGGTGTTTAAACGGAACTGGGAAATTATGTTTTTTATCTAATTATTTATACTTATTCATGCTAAAATTATTTGATAAATCCGACGAATTGCGCTATATCATATGTATTAGTCACGCGCTTTGTAAAAGTTATAAATAAAATAAACGGCGTTTTTTTTTTATTAAAATTTGATATAATTAAACTTTAAATATTTATTTTACGTCATATTAATTGATTTGGTAAGTTTTACCAATTTGCCAAAGTATTAATCTAATTGTATAATAATGGAAAATAGCAGGAACCTGCCAAAAAACAGCAGATCCTTCTTCCATAGAATACAATAAGTACTTCATATTGTTTTATCGTGCCGGTTTAAATAAAATTTCGATAATTAAAGGACCAAATAAATAACTTAAAAAAGGAGGAATAAAAAAAACCTTAAAAGGTGTAACAAGGCCCCTGAATACATCGTTATACGGATAGTATTGAAGTTCTGCGGTTCTTATTGTACAGATATGAAAGTTGGCCGAAGTTTAAACAAACAATGATTTACCTTGAATTGCCTCCGCGTACAAATTTACAATAAATTTTTACCTCCGCGTATATATTTACTCCAGAATTAGGGGTTCGACGTACAAAACTCATATAAATATACTTTTTATCATGTTTTTTTTGTCAATTAATTTAATCATAAATATGAATCTTAGCATTTTTAGACGAATTTACATAGATAGAAGTGTAGCATTGATGAAATCAAAAAAAAAAAATAATAATCAAGAAAATCCAAGTATTCTTAATAATATAAAAAATTTTTGCGAAGTTCCTCGTATAGAAATTGAATTTTCAAAAAGTTTGGTGTACAGAAATGGGATTTATAAATTGATTTGTTGCCTTATAAAACTGCAGGGGTCCTCCTGGTGTAACATTGCAATGATTATTTGTAAACAAGATTTTTAAACAATAACACAAAATAATGATCAAAGATTTCCAAATTCGATTATAAAATATTAAGATTTTCCGAAAGTACGTTATTTCCCGATGGCTCATCGCCATCTTATCCATCTTTTTTTTTTTTGTTTTGATGGTTATGGTCAATATTTAGGAATGGAGACCATCTAGATATCCTATATTATTAATATCTTAAAGTTTCACAGAAATTCGTATCACATTACATTAGCAGCGAGGAGCGCTTTAAAATATCCTTTTTTGGCATATAAAATTTCGGACAATGATCAACAATATGTTAACTGGATTATATAATATAAATAAAATAATTTAAGTAACGTATGAAAATATATTCTTATTGTTTATATGCATAGTTAGTACGGTTGTGATTAGAATACGTACTAAATTGCAACATCATTTAACATCATTTAACATCATATCTATAAAATTACGCGCATTATTATCTCATTATCATATTATCTCGTTTATTTATTAAATAACATTCTAAATGATACATACTTTGATACTACAAGTCAATAACTAGCTATTTAAATAAAAAGATTTGCAAGGATTATCGAAACCTTAATCTATTTTTATTAAAACAATAAAAGCAAGATAGCTCATTCAACATTATCAATGATAACAATATGGACTAAGGTAACATTGTCTTTTGAGATATAAAATAAACAGAATATATTAATCTTATTGTATCACAGATAATATTCCCACGTTTTATTTTGAGTAATTGACTTAGTTGATACTCGATATTTTTTTTTTTTTTTTTTTTTGTTAGAAATTACACATATGCCTTTAGTTTGACCTGAAGTTACAGTATTAAAAGTAAAAACTAAAACAATAATACTAAACTAAATACCTAGAATATAATAATAAATTACTATATCCCAATAAACCAGGTTAAACGAATCATAAGAAAAGAAAAATAAAAAACTTACCCGAAGGACAAAGGAGAAATAGAGGTATTCATCTTTATTAAAAGGATCGTGTTTTTCTTTAGCCAAAAGGCTCTACATGTAAATACTGTCATATGTAGAATGATGTTAAACAAATTTGTAATTGTAAAAAAAAGTGTGATAAAATACTTAATTCTAAAACTAGAAATTGAGAAAAATTAAGGGTTAAAAGTCTGTGAATTATAAACGTTAAAAAAAATTTTTTTACTTTTAGTCTATATAGTCTACTGTGAGCCTACGGGATCAGCTACCAAAATCACAACCTTCAATTCCTTAATTATTCTTAATTCAGCCTATTTTTTCCATTCTAAAAATCGATTCATTCTTTCTATATCTAGAGGTTGATTTCCTAATCGCTCCACAACCTCATTTAAGTTGTTATAAACTTCAACTTTAGAACGTAAATCATCTATTTTAGCCATCTGTAAATTGAGCCTTGTTTCTAACTCTAAGGCTTCTTCAAATCTTTCATTATCCGCCAGGCTAATCAATTTATTTAATATATTTTTATTTATAATATATTTCAATAAGGTGTAACCTTCTCTTTTTGTAGACATATAACTCATAATCGGGATATAATCGGAACATTTTCAATTTTAATACAAATCGGAATACAGTGTGCGTGGGACAAAAAAAATGAGAATTTTATTTTTGATCATTAACGTTCGATTATAATAAAAAAAACGTGTGAATTTACGTATTTTAAAGCTTAAGATCAGCTGATTTTATTAAAAAAAATTTAATATTATACACATTCGCCATTATTTCAATAATTAACTTACAACATCTTCTAGTTGACTTTAAAATATCGATTAGAACGATTTTTAGAGTATTTTGGTATTACTCCATCATAAATAATTAAAATTTTTTTGGTATTCGCTTTCCGCCTTATTTTTTGTGATATCCTATAAATTCAATAGGATTTGGGTCGGGACTATCTCATGGCCACCCTGAAACTTCTGATAAATTTTCTTTTAGACTGAGCTTAGAAAAATGACTATTATGCAGGTAATTTTCTTGTTGGAAATACCAACAAACGACCGCACGTGTGCAAAAAATTTCTGCATAAATCTCGATGTTCATAATCTGAAACAAAATAAACTTGCTTTTCCCTTCACAAACGACCGCCCACGCCATAATTTTTTATATAATCTTCAGACGTACAATAAACAGGTCTTTCCTCTTTATACTAATATTTAACAGTGTCACTAAAGAGTTGCAAGGCTGATTTATCAGCAGATAAAATTTTTTCCCATTGGTCATAATATTATTTTGTTCCTACTCTACATGTCTTTGCTTGTGTGCTTTGATTAACATAGGAGTTGCTTTGGGAAGTTTTTTTTTACATAACCAACACTTGAAAGATGACTTCTAGTTGTTCTATATTATACTTTTCACCTGTATTTTTCGATTTTCTTGCTAAAGTTCTTGTAAAAAAAGATGTATCATGCCTTACATATTGACTGAGTGTATGGAATGCACTTGTGGTAATTTTATTTTAGGTCTTCCATTCCCTCTAGGATGCTCCAAAAACTAGTTTTTTTTTATTTTTATAAATTGTTGACAATAAAAATTACATGAGGATGTTGTAATTCTTTAATATTATATACACCATTATTTCATAAGTCTAATGAGAATTTATTATGGGCTTTTCCTTTTGCGCAAGTCATTGTTTTGGAATTTCTCACGAAAATAAGGACGCAAAGACACTCTATTATGTATTTAAGTGGTACAAATTTAGCTTATTTTGGCGATGTAGATCATTTTAGTCACGGGATCACTTTCTCTTCAAAATTTTTCGGAGTATTTCCTGATACTTTTATCATATTAAAACTTCTAAATTTTAACTTGAAATATAATCGTAATGTTATCAGTATAATCGGAGTATTTTCAATAAATTCGGAAAAAATTGAAGTATATCCGACAAAAATTTTTTATAAGGGCTTTTATTTGCTTTTGTATTTTTTTTTTCGGAAAAAAAAATAACAAAAGGGATATGTTAGCTGCTTTGTCAAAAAAAAAAAGGTTTGATCAATTTAATTAGTTTATTTGAGTACAATAAGTCCGTACTTCATATTGTTTTTTGTCGCGCCGTTTAAATAATAATAAAAAATCTTAAAGGTGTAACATTACATATAAGTACACAAGTTCTGGCGAAATCAATACTCCCCTGAAAATGTTTTACATTAACGGATAAAACTTCGGCGGTTTGCCGATTATAGAAGGTTTCGGGAAATTCCGGAAAAAGAATTTTAATAATCACATAATAAACGTAATTTGATTTTATACTAGACACAAGATTAGAATATCCATTTTCGAGGATGAACGTAAAAAAAAATAAATTCCGTTATCCGCTTAAACTTTCTATGGAAAATTCGGTAATTTTCCAAATATTTTATGTGGCACCTTGATTTGTTAAATTATTGCCACCGGCTGGTGTGCAGAAAGTAAAATTTATTATTAATAAATAAAAATATATTTTCCTTAGTTTGAAATAAAATAAAAAAAATAAAATTTCAAGAAAGAAATTTCAAACAAAAATACTTTCAAAGTCTATTTAAATGAAAATTTCCCCTTATAGAATTAATTAAATGATTAATATAAATTTAAAAACGCAAGTCTAAAATTATAAAAATTAAAATTTCTAGATTATTCCGTTCCCACCCATTGTGAAATTTTTTCTAGCTAAATTGGGAGTCGATCATTTTCCATATACTTAAAATAATAAAATAGATTGATGATAGTTTAATGTCATTCCGGACCGCAGTTGTATGTATAAATAACAATAGATTTCAATCATATCTGGTTTTGTGAAGAAAGACGAGAGGATATGGATGATTTAATTTCAGGAGTACAAAATTGGCTTCTTTTAGAAATTAATAAAATTTTAGATCCTATTAATCATATTACTCTTGAACATATTAAAAATCTCAATGATATTTGGAAACTTGAAGTATCAGAGGATCAAATAACTTTCATAGATTTAATTAAAGGTTTCTTTCCTTGTTCGTTAATTAATTTTTTTAAACAATTATTATCTACGAAATCAAAAGTTGAAATTTTGTCATATAATTTTAGGAATGAAATTTTGGATAAATCTATGATTTTTTGGAAAGTGAGGTGTAATAAACTTAATGAAATTGATAG